TGGGCATCAACAAAAATCAATGCCATTTGTTTTTCGCTATGTAATTCATAATATTCTAAGATGTCTAGTATGATTCTAACATTATGTCTAATTTGTCTTTTAGGCAAGAAGCCGTTTTGGTCGGTATGGATAAATTCAACTAAATATTTTTTTAATCTTTCTGCCATTATAGTCATGAAAATCTTATAATCTGTATTCAGTAAAGAGATGGGCCTATAGTTTTTAATGCAGGTCAAATCAGAATTTTCTTTAGGAATTAGTGAGATGATTGCTTCTTTCCATGAGTTATGGGTTTTTGTTATATTTAGTACATCATTAAATAAGTCCAGTAGAGTTGGGGCCAAAAGTTCTTGGAGGTTTTTATATATTTCAGACGGTAATCCGTTAGGGCCAGGTGTTTTATTACTTTTTTGCTTTTTAATTGCTTCTATAATTTCCTGGACTGTTATATCTTTATTTAATATATTTTGAAATTCTTCCGGGACCTTCGGTAAGTCCGCTTTCATAAGATATTGTGATATTCTTTCCTCTGTAACCATTTCATCCTCTTTATAAAGATTTTTATAGAATTCATATGTCACCCATTTTTTCTCTTCATTTTGATGTACCATCTCCCCTGCTTGATTACATAATTTACTAATCCATCTTTTATCTTTTTGTTTTTTCAATCTATAAGCCAACCATCTCCCAGGTTTATTTGCCTGTTCAAAAAATTTTTGTCTAATACCTTTTATTTTTTTTGCCATTTCTTCCTTTTCTATAATATTCAATTTATGCTTATTTAAATCTAGCTGTCGTTTTAGGTCTCTACATTGTGGGTTTTTTTGTAGTTCTGATTCTAATTTTTTGTATTCTTCCTCTAAACTTTTCCGATATTGCCTTTTCTTTTTATATTCATTGGCCATGTACGCAATTGCAGTACCTCTCATAACAGCCTTGGCCATGACCCATAAATTTTGAGTGCTAGTCTCCTCTTTCTTATTTGTCTGGAAAAATGTCCGCATTTGTTCCTCCATCTTATGCTTAAATTCTGTTTGGTTTAGAATTGTCTTTTTTAGAGTCCACTTCCTTGTTGTTGTCTTCTGTTCTTTCCATTTAATTATAATGGGATTATGGTCTGCCCAAGTATTAATATCTATTACTACCTCATCAATATCTGAATTTAATTCTTTCGTTGTCCAGACCATATCAATTCTGGACCGTGATTGGTGCCGCCCTGAAAAATATGTAAATTGCTTTTCATTCAGATTTCTCTCCCTCCAACTATCTTGAATATTTAATTCTTCCGCCATTTTAAAAAAAGTACCAGGTAATATTCTCCTGCTTTGTTTCCTTACTTCCTCACTCTTATAATCTAATTCTCTGTCTATAATTGCATTGAAATCACCAATTATACAAATGTTCTCATATTCCATATCAGCAATAACCTTATGCAGTTTCTTATAAAATTGTCTTTGTTTTTCATTGGGGACATAAATTCCTACCAGGGCGACCTTTTTTTTATTCAGGGAAATTTCAATAATCAATATTCTACCTTCCTCATCTTGGTAGATTAGTCTTGCTGGAATTTTTTCTTTAATATATATCACAATTCCTCCTTTCTGCTGCTGTGAAAGCGATACAAATTTGGTTCCTAACTTAGAGTAGTAGATCCTGATCTTGAGTCTTTATATGTGTTTCTTGTAAAATTGTTATGTCTAAGTTTTTCTTACTGAGCTTATTCAAAATTATATTTCTCTTAGTCGGGGAGTTTAGTCCATTTACATTTAATGATAATACTGTTAATATTTCTACATTACTGCCTCTGTTTTGATCTTGTCATTCTTGTCGGTCTATCTTCCTTGAGTTCTTTGTGTCTACTTTCATCATCATTGTCATGATTCCTTCTCGTTTTTTCTCTTCTCTCCGTTTCCCGTTCTTTACCTTGTGATTCTCGTGTCTTTCTGTTGTATCTCTCTGAATTGTTCTCTTCTCTTAACTCTCTTTCTTCTAATTCATCTTCATTGCCTAGGTGCTGCTGGAAAAACTCTTCTGCTTTGTCAATCAAATCTAGCCTATATCTTTTTTCTTGCCAAGTTACCAGAATCCCTTCCGGCATCAGCCACCTAAAATTGATATTTTGTCTTATTAATTTTAATGTAATATGTTGGTAGGGCCTTCTCAGGTCTCTTACCCTCCTGGGAACTTGTTTAAGAACAGTTAGTTGTTTACCTCTGTATTCTATTGGATCGTCCCTTGTTCTGTGCAAAATCTCATCCCTAACTGACTTCTTCACAAATCTGATATGTACTTCCTTGGGTAGGTTATTTCTTCTCACGTAGTTTGTGTGGATTCTGTATGTTTCATCGATTTCATTTGCCATATCTTCTTTCCCTGTCCCTAGGGCCCTTGCTAACAAGTCCGTCATCATTTCTGGAAGGTCCTCCCCCTTCTCTTCTTTCACGTTTTGAAAGCGTAAATAATGGTCCGCTTTCTCAGTTTCAAGCAAGATGACGGTTTTTTCTAATTCTTTATTTGCTTGCGAGAGTTTTTCATTCATTTCATCTACTCTTCTTTCCTCCTTATTCATTCTGTCCTCCATTTCTAATAATTTCTGTTCATTTTTCAATATCTGTTGTTGGAAACATTCAAATTTTCCGTCCATTGCTCCTATCTTCTCTTTAAGTTCTCCAGTATCATTCCTTATTTCACCTATTTCTTTTTTTAAATCGTCATGATTTCTCAATATAACCTCTTGCATGGATTGTAGCATTGCTTGTAGATCTTTAAGTGAGCCTGCTCTCTCCCATGGCAGCATCTCTTCTATGGATCTTTGCCCTGCTGGGCTTAATTCCACCGATGAGGCTTGGGTTATCTGCCTTCTTCCAGTCCCAACTCTTGTTAGATTTGGGATGCTTGTCATCTTTCTAAATGACGTCAACCAACCCTCCAACTTGTACACGATCTTTATCTTTCCCTCCACCACACCTGGAGAGTTTATTATTCTTCCAAGGTTGTAATCATTAGTACCTTATATCTTCACAATGATATATTTTGTTGCTAACACAGTATGAAACCTATTACACTAACACTTCCAATACACAATAATTAATATTAATCAATTTCAGGTGTTTATATTCCACTGCAATCCTAAATTATCTATATAATAACATGTAACAATAATATAACCAATAACCAATAAATTACCTCAATATTATAACCAATATTCAGTTCATTAGCAATAAAGACCAGGTTTTATAGTTAATCCCTTAACAGTTATAAATATTATTGTATTCAACAAGGAAACAAGGAAACAAGTAAATATATTTTCTCACCCCCCTTGGGCATTCAACCTTTTGTTTCTAGTTAGCCTCCTCCGATTCAATCATACAATGGGTTATGTCCAATTAATTCTTATTGGTCTAAGCTCTCAAATCAAATTACCATTTATCCCTTTTATTTTAGAAACTTTTTAAAGCAATTAATTCACTTCCTAAGTTATGAATATCACTCTTCCCTCCTTTAATGCTAATTGGTCGTCAGTTCTTATTCAAGATGTCCGCTCTCTCTGCTCAGTCCACACTGTCATTTTTCAAGTTTATTTTATTTCTTGTTAAACTTCTTCTTGGCTTTGCTGCAAGCGGCAGAAAGAGAAACCACCCTTGATCTCCAGTCCTTACAGCCTGTGAGTCTGTTACTTTAAGGTCAGATCTCTTTTTCCCCCTGCCTCCTTTTTCGCCGCTATCTGACAGGGAGGTGATTTCCCCCTTTCGCTCTGGGGCTTCTCCTCTTTTCTTCTCTTCTTTGAAATTCTCCGGCAAGATTTCACAATCCGGAACACTTACAAGAGTTCGCTGAGAGTTCACTCTGCCAGGTTAGTTGAGTCACTGTCCCGCTGATTCACCGCTATTTCAGACAGCTGCCATTTCTTCACGGCCGCCATGATGGGCCGTCTCCTTCACCCGGCTTTCTCCTAGGCTTTCCTGCTTTCTGCGGCTCGGACCGCCGTCCTGAGCCGCTCAGCTGGGCGCCTCTGCTTCTAATCTCCCTCCGAGAGATCTGGGGCTTTTAAAAAACCCACCGGGAACAGAGAAATGGCTGTGAAACCGGCATGCTCATTCGGAGCGGCATTTCAGCACCGCCATTTCATTTGACAGCTCGAAACTACTTTGAGAAGTTAATCACGGCGGTCTTGGTTCCCTGTGCCTGACACTCTAATGACAGTCAGTTCCTGGAAGGAGAATGTACTTACTGAGTTGCAGGCATTGGCACGGTCCACCTTGCTGAGATTTCGTACATCTGTGTTGAAGACATTCATCTTTTCAACCAAGCAGGTAAGGGCAGTTTCAGTGGCCTCTCCAACCTTCTCAAATACACCTTTGGACTGGAAAAGGGAAGAATCAGAGATATGATTTAGGTATACTGAATTGTGATCAAGAAATGCGTGGGGTGTATTATCAAGATTCAGCCTAGCAAGAATTATTACTTTAATGTAATTTGAGAAAACATCTCAGACTTGACCTTCTCTAATTCTCACGAAGAAAAAGAGGGTTGGGAAGAAAGTATTCAGACTTGCAATATTCTATTACTGTAACCATTTATTAAAATAATTAGCATTCGTAACTCTGTCTTTTCTAGTCTGGTCTCCCTCAAAGGACTAACAGACTCTTATCATTCTCAGGGCTGTTCTACAGGCTTATAACTAGTCTCTGGTATTGTTGCTGTTGTTTGTGCCTTCAGATTAGTCTTTACTCCTGGCAACTATATGGATAAGTCCATGCAAATGTTTGGCAACTTTTTCAGAAGTGATTTGCTGTTGCCTTCTTCCAAAGGCGGACACTGGCCTCGAGTCACCCAGGTGGCTTTGTGCCTAAGGCAGGAGTAGAACTCCTGGTTTCCTGGTTTCTAGACCAGGAATTCCCAACCTATTGGCCACCGGGCTGTGTGAGTGGCTAGCCAGTGCACATGTGTCTTCACATGTGCACAGCCCCACTCTCATGAGTGTCGCCGCGAGTGTCATAGGCATTTGCAGCCCCACTTGTGTGAGCACCGCCATGAGTGTTGAGGGTGTTCGCGGCCCCACTCCTGCGAATGCTCATGGCCCCACTCCCGCAAGCAACGGGTGTTTGTGCATGCACATACATGCATTCACACCCATCAAGACCATCCTTTATTTCCCCTCCCCCCTGTTCTGGGCCGCCAACCCCAAAAGGTTGGGGAACTCTGTTCTAGACCCCTATCTTTAAATAATGCACCAAACTGGCTGTCTCCAGTCTTAACTGGCTACCTCCGAGACCGCCTTCTGCCACAGATTCCCTCCCATAGACCGGTACGCTCCCACAGAGCGGGCCTCCTCAGGGTGCCGTCGGCCAAGCAATGTAGGCTGGCGACCCCCAGGGGGAGGGCCTTCTCTGTGGGTGCCCCCACCCTCTGGAACGAACTACCCCCCGAGATCCGGATGATTCCGGATCTCCTTACNTTAGGTAGGGATGATTTTAAGAAAATTTTAATTGACACACAGCTTCCAATATTTGGCTTTTAATTTGGTTTTATGGGGGTTTTTTGTTTTTTGATGTATTTTGTTTGTATCTGTTTTAATATGCTGTGCACCGCCCTGAGTCCTACGGGAGAAGGGCGGTATATAAATTAAATTATTAAATTAAATTAAATTAAATTAACTGCCTAAAATAATGACCACTGGTGCATGTAGCACTATTTTATCAGCCCTGTGAGAAAAGAAAGCAGCAGTAATGAATTCTGTAAATTCCCTGCCCTCAACATCTGACCACATCTCCAGAAATGCAAAAGGGAGGAGGAAGTTTGGACCTCCTTTTATTCCAGGCGTCCCTACATTTAAGATTTAACAGTCATTTTCTCAGCTCCAATGAACCTGCCAACGCTAACTTGGAGAAGGAAATTAAAGAACTTGGGAATTTATTCCTACTGGAACATTGTCCAGTACTAAGTATGATTCCTCTGGATGTCAGGTCAAAATCTTTATATTGCCTTTTAAGAGTTTTTAGACTCCAAAGAGGGTTTTTTTTAATTTTCACCTTTTTTGCCTCTGGTTTTATTATTTTAATGATGAATTTGTTGGTTTTATTTTATTTTGGAGTTTTTGGTGAAGAGAGTCACACATATCTCTTAATGAACAATTGGTGCGAAGTGGATGATGAAGCCAAAGAGAAGCATTCACCTCATTGAAATCCAGTGAAGAGTCATTGCAAAGGGCACAAATCGTGGCTAGTTCAACAAGACCATCATATTGTCCAGTTTTGACTTGTTTATCATTCTTAAATCTGCATGTTCCAAAAAAAGTAAAAAATGCATTCGTTTTATTTATATAGCCCATTTATATGGCCGCCCATCTCACAAAAAGTGACTCTGGCAACATACAACAAAGAGATAAAGCAGTAAACATGTAAGAAACGGTCATTATTTAAAAGTTTAAAAAGCATATGGCACACAAGAGATTACATTAGTACGGGACCCTCGCAGGAATAATGACATAGCCAGGCCTTAAGAGACTTCTGAAAAATAAGTAAGGATAGAGCTGACTTCAGTTCAGGGCTAAGAATGTTCCAGAAGGTGGGTGACACAGCAGAGAAGGCCTGCCTCCTCAGGCCCACCAAGTATAACAGATGGGAATCGCAGCATGCCTCTTCTGCCAGATCTCATGGGATGGGCAGATGTAATTGGGGAATGGTGGTCCTTCAAATAACCCAGCCCCACGCAATGAAGGGCTTTAAAGGTCAAAACCAGGACCTTGAATCAGACCCAGAAGCAAATTGGCAACCAGTGCAGCTGTGAAGCAGAGATATAACATGTCCTGTCCTAGACACACATGTAACTGCTGATGGAAAGCCCATATTAATTAGCCAGTGCAGCAGTACTAAAGAAACCAGGTTTCAAGTATTACAGAGACCATCCTGTGTGGCCCTCCCTGCCCACATCACTGCATTTTGCACTAGCTGAAGCTTCTGGATACTCTTCAAGGGCAGCCCCAGGTAGAGTGCATTACAACAATCCAATTGGGAGGTAACTAGGGCATGAGTGACAGTGAGCAGAGCCCCCTGATCCAGGAACAGATTCAACTGGTACAACAATACAAACCTGTGCAAAGGCCCACCTAGCCATGAATGCCACCTACTTTTTAAGCAAGCTGTGAGTCAAGGAGGATGCCGGATTGTGCACAGGGTCTATCTGGGGCAGTGCACCCCATCCAGCACCAAAGTTGGCATAGTCTGGAACTGGCAGGACCCCAAACTCAAAGCCACTCAGTCTTGCCAGAATTCAGCAAACCTGTTGTTTTCCATCCAGACCCCCATAGCCTGCAGGCACTGGGATAGGATACTCATGTAATTGCTTAATTCAGCAGGGGCAGAGAGATATAATTGGAAAGAGCACAGATTATTGCTTTGAATTATGGGAGAAACAAAACAACAGCTAAGAAATCAAAGCATCTGAATAAATATCACATTAAGGCAGAATATGATTTGTTTGGTTTTGATTTAGTATTTTGTGTGAACCTAGCCATTATAATTTCAAACCATAATAACCAATACATTATGTGTTAGTGAATCCAATTACTTCAACTTAAGAAAACCATAGTTGAAGCAAAACATTATTTAGTTTAGTGTAAAAACTAAAGTACTGGCTTTGGTTTAAAAACAATCAGAGTCTATTTTTCTCTAGATATATATAGGATTAGGCTATCAGGTTTACAGTTTTGGCTTTATTTAAGGTTCACATTTGTACTTACACTTCTCCTTCAGGGGCATAGGTGGAACCAGTGATACTGAATTCATTCAAGGCACAAAAATCTCCCTCTATTTTGTCCACAACAAACATCTAAGAGAAAGAGAGGAAGGAAGGAAGGAAGGAAGGAAGGAAGGAAGGAAGGAAGGAAGGA